TGGTTTTTGACTTCATATATCTTCATCCTAAGTAGTTTCCACGAAATACGTATCTTTACTTTTGTAGGAAAGTACTTTAGTTGCTCTTGGTGTCTATAGGGGCATGGATGCAAAGTTCTTCAGAAACATTTTTGTTTCTTGTGGTGTTTTTCATAAATATCTTTTAGAGATATTTTATTTCTGGGGTTTTTAAGAAAATATCTTTTGGAAGATATTTTCATTCTGGGTAGTTTTATAGTTATCCCTTTTTGTAGGGGTCATTGTGCAATTAACGAAAATTATTGCAAAATACTTTGTTTTGAGCCTAGATCCTCGTACGGGATTCATTTTCACATTTCGTCGAGTCGTGTACTCTTAGAATTGTCATGCGGTCGAACCCTATAGTTTTCTGGTTTTTGGCCCGGTTAGCGCCAAACTTGTTTGGGGCATATCTCTCTGCTCGGGACTCTGTTTTTGATGCCGTTTCTTCCGTTATTTATTTTTTCTCATTTTGGTTCTTTTTCGTTCACAGAGTTTTGTCATTTGAGTGCGTCTGCTCAAATTTCACTTTTTCGGACCCGGCGAAGCCTTTTCGGGACACTTTTAGGGTTTTACTATAAATAGGGGGTTATAAAATTAAATTAGCTGATTTCCTCTTCTTATCCCACGTTTCAGATCAGCCATGGCAGCGCAAGGGGCTGCCACCTTCTTTTCCACCATATTCCCTCGTGTAAAATGTCGTAGTGTTTTAGCGTTTATCGAAGGCCTTGACGGCGCGCACCTTTCCCCCTTATTAGAATCCATTTTCGACCACTTTTGAGTTCGGGTTTGAATTTTCATGGTACCTCAAAGGTTAAAGTTGTTCCTCTCGTTGTCCCCGACATAACCTAGGAGTATCGTCGGATTCGGAGCGTTTCCGTTTCAGTGGGGATTTGTGATTTCATCACAAAATAAGGTAAAGATGTTTTAGGTTTAAATATGTATTGTATTGATGGTTTTATAAGCATATACAACTTGTAAGCATGCCTTTTTATTAATTATAGAATTTAATTTAATTATTTTCTATATTTAAGATTTAATTCTCATGGTTATATATAACTTGGAATTAAATTGTAGCATGCTATTAAATTAAGCCGTGATATGCTTGTTAACATATATTAAATTGGGAGGATTTAAATAAGTATTGCAACTTTTAATTAATCTTTCACTTGAATGAAAATTTAATTCACATGGTTGTAACTAGCATGGAATCAACTTGTAATGTGATATTAAATTAGGCCTTGGTATATTCTTTAACATATGTGAATTTGAGGATATTTGGAATTGTTTTAAAATCTAGAGAAAATTAATTAATTTTACTATGAGTGTTCTAATCACTTAATTCGATTTTTGACTTGATATTATTGATGAGCTTGGCATGTTCTATCATATATATTAAATTGGGAATATTTGAATGAATTTTGAGAAATTTATTTAATTATTTTCTTGGCGTTGATCTTAATTTACCTTGTTGTAACTAAGGTAGAATTGGTTTGTAACTTGAAATTAAATTAGGCATTGCTATGACCTTTGACATATATTATATTTAGGATTCTTGAAGTTGCTTTGTAATCTTGAGAATTTAATTATTTAATTTAATTAAATTCCATTTGTAGCTTTCATTGAGGTAATTAAGTATTGATGCTATATTCTTACTTAATTTATAATTTGCAACTTGGTGTATGATTACAAGATGGTATTCCATGAGTAGAAGTTATGATTTAACTTGTTATATACACATTATACTTGTATGACATTTAATATGCCATTGTAGCTTGAAGGTCTAGAGCATATCTTGTGTGTATTCCATGACTTGGTTGTGCATGGCAATTGACAATGTGCATTGTGTATATGTGATATACTTGTTGTAGAAATTGATGATTTTTGGAAAGCTTGTACGGACATTGTAATATGTTAAGGCTAGAGTATGTCTCTAGTACGGGGGATGAGAGTTCCCTCTACAACCTGAGATCACTTGTTTGGTCATTGAGACCATATGTCATTTGTCTTTTCGCCATTGGTTGATTTCACATTCAATTCCTATTTGTAATTGTGGATCACTTTTAACTTGTGCTTAGATGCATAGTACTTCATTTCTTGCTTAATATACTTGGATTTGTATACTTGTATGCCTTATATATAAAAAATGCTTAGCATACTTGGATTTGTATACTTGTATGACATGCATGTCAATATTGCTTAGTATACTTAGAAATGTATACTTAAATTTATATGTGCATTTCCATTTCAATATTGCTTAGTGTACTTAGTGTGTACCCTTGTATATTGATGATTTACTTTCTAGATAACCTAGTATACTTATATCTTTTATACTTGTCTTAAGTGCATTTCAATCTTGATTGTATATTTGCGTACGTATACTTGTATATCGAATGACTTGTTGTGTGTACCGCATGCTCCTATGTTGTTTAAATTGCATGAATGATGTGGTTTATGCTATGAATACTCTAAGTAGCTTAGGATGCTCCATGAGTCTCACCTTTGACATAGACGCTAGGTGGCATGACTATTTGAGTTAAATTATAGTAACTTAATAGGTTTGTAAAATGTTAGGTCTTTGCATGCTCATCTCGTACGAGTAGCTTTATGTTACTCACCCACGTAGTGGAGACAATTTTCAGGTACCGGGATCAAGATTCGGGATTCACATCATGCTTGGATGATTTGTAAACTTGAAGTTCTCATTTCTTGTAAATGTTGGCTTGAAATGCCATTTATAGCTTTATATGTCAAAATGTGTAAATTTGATTCTATTTATGTAATGTGTACATAAGTACACTCTTTATAATGTATTTGACATGTATGAGATGAGGCAATAGGCTAATGACATCTAATTTGTATCCTATGTAACTTTTAACTTCATAAAATATTATGAAAATATTGAAAAACGCTAAGTCATTATCTCACCATGGTTGCATCGGGTGTTGGAATTTCATTTTTATTCTTCCATACAGTCTTATTAATCATGTTTGAAGTGTGGCCAAGGGCAAAACGGTAATTTAACTCCATTTTATATTTTTGGATTTCAAATTTTCCATTTCAAGTCCATTTTTCTCATTTTTGGCCATCGGGGGGTCGGATTTTGAGTCGGGGCTTCTCGGGGAGCCACGAACCATTCCCGCATGCTTAGAATCACTTATTACACTTGCATGCACATTCGTTTCAACCTAGAAATGCATTTAGGGCCAAATGCATACTTGATGCAAAGTTGCATTTTATGAGTTTTTGACCATTTACTGATCTAGGGGCATTTTGGCCATTTCATAGTTATTTTTTCATTTTCTTTCGTGCTGTCGGGTAGAAAACTCAATTTCGGGAGGGGTTTCTTTTTCATGTTTTTCCAGAAAAATTCATTTAATAGCCCGTTTTTGCTCTCAATTGTGAACTGATCCTGAAAAAATTTCATGTAACAGCTTTTTGGGCTCTCTTGACCTTCGCTGATCTAGGGGCATTTTAGGAATTTTACAGCATGTTTTTTTTTTTTTTGTTTCCTTCCACACTCCTGGGTAGAAAACGTGATTTTAAGGGAGGTTTCTTCTTCGTGTTTTTCTAGAAAAATTCTTTTAAGGGTCCGTTTTGAGCCTCAGTTCTGGGAAAAAAATCAAAAGAAGCTTTCTGTCAAAACACTATTCCTGCCCAGATTTCTTACTCGAAAAAGTTGGTTTTTTTATGAAACTTTGAGGCTTCATATCTCCTTCGTCCCGACTCCAAATCAAGTGATTTTTGAGTCTAAGTTTATTAACTTTCATTTGTCTATCCAACGGTATACACTGTTGCATTCAATTCTATCTGAAAAGACCAATTTACCCCTTGTCAAGTACCCTTGCCGCACTGATTTGAAACCCAAAAGTTGGTTTTTTTGAAACTTTGACGTTTCGTATCTTCTTTGTCCGGACTCTGAATCAAGTGATTCTTGAGTCTAGATTTATTAATTTTTCCTGGTCTATCTAGTGGTATGCTTAGTTGCATCTAGTTTTGTCTAAAAAGACCATTTTAACCCTTGTAAAGTACCCTTACCTCACTGATTTTTAACCCATAAAGTTTGATTTTTTTGAAACTTTGGAGTTTCATATCTTCTTCATCCGGACCCCGAATCAAGTGATTCTTGGGTCTAAATTGAATAATTTTTTGCTATCTTTCTAGTGGTACACTTGGTAACACCTGATTTTATATTTTCAGAAATGACCATTTTGCCCTTGGGGCTAAATTTGTCCGGTTTTCTTTTAATTTGTTTCCGCTACTTTCTTTGAGTCTCGTGACTTCATGGGAAGTCAAGGATGTGTCTTAGGAATGGTGTACGTTCCCAAGGACATTGCTTCCATGTGAAAAGACTATTTTGCCCTTGGGGGCCTGTTCGGTCTTTTTCTGATCATTCGTTTCCGCATTGTTCTCGTTGAGATCCGTGACCTCATGGAAGGTTACTCTAGCTTCTTAGAGATGTATTGCATCTCCAGGGTCTTGTTTTCTATTTTTGTTTCCGCATTTGGATTCGTTATCGGGTCAATCTTCGGTTCATTACAGGATGCACTAGCTTGAAAAACCAGGGCCGTCACATTTCATACAGTCACAGCCATAGTTGGTGTGGGAGTTCTCAGCTTACCTTATGCCATGGCCTACTTAAGATGGTATACATCTTCTTTCTCTCCTCTCACTCTCTTATTGGATAATTTTAACATGTTAAGATGATACATCTATGGTTTTGTTAAACTAAAACCATCTTACCTTTCACAAACCCTGAGGGTTTGCTCATAGTGGTAAGGTCACTTGGTTCTGGTGTCTCATGAACCATCAGGTCTGAGGTTCGACTCCCACTGAGTGTAGACCACACCACCCGATTTACCCAGCCCGTGATAGGGAGGCGCCCTTCATAGGTCCTTATGAATTAGTCTGGTGAAGGCTAGGATTCTACAGGTTATAATCTAAAAAATAAATAAATTCATCTCTCCCAGGGTCCAGGGACAATGGTGATGGTTTTATCTTGGTGCATCACCTTGAATACAAAGTGGCAGATGATACAACTCCATAAATGCATGCTCGGCGTTCGGTTTGATCACTACTATGAGCTGGGGCGGCATGCCTTTGGGCCGAAGCTGGGGTCATGGATAGTGTTGTCACAACAGCTGATAGTTCAGGTTGGCGGTGACATTGTGTACATGGTCACTAGGGGGGAAGTGTCTGAAAAAGTTCTTGGAAATGGCACGTACCAATTGCACCAAACTCAAGCAATCCTACTGGATTTGCATCTTTGGTGGCATCCATTTCTTCCTGTCTCAGCTCCCCAATTTTAACTCTGTCTCTAGGGTTTCATTAGCAGCAATTGTCATGTCACTAAGGTACCTACCTACTTAATTCATGCTCTTCTTTATCAACTTCACTTGGTAAAGCTCTCCATCACCAAAATCCTCTCCAGTGCACGGGGACACTAACTAAGGATCCCGTGTAGCGGCCCCATACTTCTCATGGAGTGATACTCTTATTATCATCTCGAACGCTAGAACACTAGTGCACCGAAGAGGATTTTGTTCCCTAAAATTAATTGAGTCCATACATACATTGGTATGCAAAAATTGTAACTTCCAAGTACTTTTTATTTTTTATTTTTAAGTTCAAGCAAACACACACAGCCGAACATTCAACCTTCCTCATTTAGAGAGGAGAACTTGTACCATTTAGGCTAATGCCTACTGGTTTGCGGCTTGCAAGTTATCATCAACCCAAGATAACTTTACAGATCGAGCATGATTGTATTTTGATCTATGGTAAAAAAACTTAGTGGGATTCAATGGTAAAAAATAATATACTCTTTGTCCCAAAATAAGTGTCTATCTTTTCATTTTTATCCATTCCAAAATAAGTGTGTCACTGCTATTTTTTTTGGTAATATTACTAATTTAATTTTTTTGCATTAAACCTATAAAAAAGTAAACTATCATGTCGTGGACCCATTAGGGGTAAATTTGATAATTCATTCACTAATATTACAATAAAAATTATAAAAGTCATTATATGAAAAAGTTAGATAGATAACTTATTTTGGGACCGATAGAATAGAAAATTATTTTTGTTTAAGATTGGTATAAAGATTCTAATGCTAAATTAAAATCAAGAGCCAGATGATTGAACAAAAACCCATCACCATATATGTAAATCTGAGTAGAACTTTTGTCGGCTCCATTGATGTATGTCTCAACTTAATTAGACTAATCCAAGTTGCCTCCATTGTTGGAACATCGAAGCTAATGTTCAGTTTTGTTACCATTATACATACAATTATAAATAAAGTTAACATATATAGAAACTTCCAGTAGTAAAAAGAAGCAAAATTCTGCTGAAGAAGTAGTTGACTAGCCGCCTCATATCTTATTATATATAATTTTATATGGAAAATGGAATTCTTTGTTTACATGACAATTAATTGTGAGCATTTCAGTAGTACTTGAGCCGAAAAACAAACTCGAATTGCAGAAACAAGAACTTGCATATACGACAAAACCAGTGCACGAGGCTAAGACAATAATGTATATACTTAATTGGAATCCGATCTAAATATTACAGTTACTCAACCATGGCATGGGTGGGCTGCTTGAGTAGGGGTCGGGTTGAAAACGTGAGCTACGCATACAAGGAAAGCAGTGGAGCTGACTACATGTTTCGCGTATTCAACGCCTTGGGTCAGATTTCATCTGCATATGCAGGCCATGCTGTTGTCCTGGAAATTCAGGCCACCATTCCCTCCACTCCTAAGAAGCCCTCAAAAGTGGCAATGTGAAAAGGTACACTTGGGCCTATTTTATCAATGCAATCTGCTATTTCCCAGTGGCTTTTATCGGATACTGGGCGTTCGGCCAAGATGTTGATGACAATGTGTAAGTGGCACTCAAGAAACCTTCATGGCTCATTGCCTCTGCTAACTTAATGGTGGTCATCCATGTCATCGGCAACTATCAGGTAGTGTACTATAAAAGCATGGTGCATGTTTGGTGATGTTTGCTGCAATTTGAATAGTATTGAAGCGCTTCCGAAAAGAGGCCAAAACCAGTGATGGACAGTATAAAAAAAAAAAAAAAAAAAAACTCTAAAATGACCTTTTTAACTAGCTATCTTATTTTTCAAACTTGTAATATATGTATATTTTTTTATCAAACATGTGTTCATATTTTTGCTTCCAAAATATATGAACAAATATATATTACCAAACATGCTTCCAAATAGTATTGAACACACTCCAAAGTAGAAACATTGCTTCTAATTCGAATAAAAATAAAAACACAAAACAACTGTGGTTCCCAAACAAACCCGGTTTGTGTATATATACATGCATAAGCCTAATTCCATATAGACATTGATTATAATGGAGAAATGCATTGCAAGTTTATGCAATGCCAGTGTTTGGCATGTTGGAGAACTGGAGAAGACAATGGTGAAAAGATTAAAGTTTCCACCAGGAATTGCACTCAGACTCATTGTTCGTTCTGCTTATGTTGGTGAGTTTGACGTTACTACTATATACGCTTGAATTATGCGACGATTTTTACAAATTTCAGGAGAGTGAACTTTGTAATTTGTTGTATTGACGATTGCCTGAAATCCATCAGTACTAGCCATGCATTAAAGATGCAGTCTCTACCTTAACGACAGAAAAAAGGATTAATCTTTCTTTCATTTAATGCCTATTGGTGTTACTCTTGCAGCCTTCACACTGTCTAGCGGTGTCACCTTCCCTTTCTTTGGTGATCTTCTTGGTTGCTTTGGCGGATTTGGTTTCGCGCTAACTTCATATTTTATAAGCTCGTTCATTCCTACATGATTAATTTTTATATGAAACTGATGTTGTCCAAAAATATGGTCTAAGTATACCATATACTATAGTATTATTTATTTAAATATTATGTAAAAATATAATGTTTATATATTTATATATAATTATTATTATAAAATAATAATCTATATATATAATTACTTATAATATATAGTTTAATATAATAAAATAAAAACTATAAAATAAAGAACCTGATTAAAAGTTAAGGCTAGAATTTGATTCTATGTCCTTAAGACAGATTCGCCCCGCTATGGTGCTAACGAACTAAGTGGCGTCTATCTCCTAAGATACGATGACTTGTCTCCCTTCAGTTGTAGCACTGCAAACCAAAGGAATAGGTGAACCGGCTTGGTGTAGTACTCTCTGACTCGAAGTCGGACTCGAACTCACTGACTAAGGCTCGAACCCACAGACTAGAGCTCGAACCCACAGACTAGGGCTCGAACCCACAGACAATTATAGAAGAAGAGAGAAGGAAGAAGGAAGAAGATAATTCAGAAAGAGAAGAATGATTTTCTGAATTAGTGTAATAGCAAATGACCCCAAAGGGGGGTATTTATAGGAAGCAAAGTGCATTTTCGGGTATGGGTGCAACCATGGGTCATGTTGGTTCAGTACCAGTTGCAACCCTTTAGAAACAGATGTAACTCTTTGGAAAACAGATGCAACCCTTTGGAAATAGATACAACCCTTTGGAAAAAAACTAACTTTTAATTTAAATTCAAAAACCAACCACCTATTTAAATAAGCCCAACCCAAAATAAAGGCCCAATTTCGTTTAGTAAAAAATTAACTACACTTTACAATCAAGCCCAAGCCCAAGCCTCGACCGGGTTGGGTCGGGTGAGCGTGGCACGCGCGTGTGTGGTAAACGGTTTGGACCCAAGCTTGCCTAGGTTCTCCCCCTCTTAAAAACTTGGGTGCCCTTAGGCCTAAACCCAAGTCCCAAACTTGGCTTATTTAAACTTCAATTAGTTTTAACATTTTTTTCATTTTGCATACTCATTTAGGCTTATCAACCACCTCACTTTGGAGGTAATTTCTCATTCACCCAGAAACATATTTGAGAAAGTATATGTACCAAGTTTATCTCCTTGTGGAGAGGAATGCGTTTGTCAATAGATACGCAAAAAACTCTTAGCGGAATCTACTCCAAAGTTTCTGTTTTGTATACCCCATTTCCAATAATCCCCTGCATGAATGGAAATTGGCATCATTTGCAAATGATGAAAATGCAGGCACTAGAGAGAGTACTATTGGAAAGTTACTGCATCAGGATAGGTAGCTTTAGGCCTTGAACCTTCCCTAGTGTATTACTATTGGATTTACTGGCTAAGCAGTGGACATGATGTCTTGAACTGTTCAGCCGTTGATATAAACCAAGACAATAGCAAACACACAGTTCCCTTCCGCACAAAGTCGGTTCTCACAGTTATGTTCATATGGCCTTGAACAACTCCTGGTATTTTATAAATGCTCTAGAAAACCTAGCCTTAGAAGTTTTCATAGAAGCGGCCCCACTTCACACTCATTTAGGTGACTTCTTATTAAGAATATCCTACTATACCCCACTTGAATTTTGCAAGATATAAGAGTCATTAAAAGTATAGCTTATCTTAATCATCGTTGTAGGTAGCACTGTCTCATCATAGAAATGACAGAAGATTAAATCTTCCCAATGCTTCTGGTAAGCCATTCAGAATTTTTATTGTCCCTTTGAACCTAGATCTTGGGATCTCCAGTCAACTAGGTTGAGTTTCCATTAAGATGACTCATTAGCTTTCAGCTTTAATCCCACTCCCCTTGATGAACTATACACTTACTCTCTTATCAAACCTTTTGTAAACGGATCCGCTAAATTATCTTTTGACCTGATATAATCTATTGAGATTATCCCACTTGAGAGAAATTGTCTAACGGTATTATTTCGTTGATGTATATGTCGAGACTTACCGTTATACATATTACTTTGTGCCCTTCAAATTGCTGATTGACTATCGCAATGTATACATATAGTGCGCACAAGTTTATGCTAATTTGGAATATCTTCTCAGAAATTACGAAACCACTCAGCTTCTTCACCAGCTTTATCTAAAGCAATAAATTTAAATTCCATAGTGGATCTGGCAATACAAGTCTGTTTTGAAGATTTCCAAGATATGGCACCTCCTCCATTAGTAAAGACATAGCCACTTATGGATTTAGAATTCTTCGTATCTGATATCCAATTAGCATCACTGTGACCTTCAAGTACTGCTGGATATCTAGAATAATGTAATTAATAACTTATGGTATATCTTAAATACCTTAGGACCCTGATTGTTGCAGTCCAATGGTTCTTTCCTCGATTACTTGTATATCTACTCAATTTATTAACTGAGTATGTTATGCCTAGTCATATGCAATTCATTAAATACATTAAGCTTCCTATAATACGAGAATACTCAAGTTGAGATATGCTAGGACCAGTATTTTTTGATAAATGAAGATTTACATCAATAGAAGTCTTTACAATACTACTATCTTCCTTATTAAACTTTTCTAATATTTTCTCAATATAGTGAGATTGAGATAGTACTAGACCATCTGATGTTTTAGAAATCTTGATTCCTAGTATGACATCAGCTATGCCTAAATCTTTCATATTGAAATTTTTTGTTAACATATTTTTAGTAGTTTTGATTATAACATCATTATTACTCATTATTAGCATATCATTCACATATAGGCACACAATGACATATCCATTTTGAGTGTTTTACACATAAACACATTTATCACACTCATTGATTCTAAAACCATTTGACAACATCACTTTGCCAAATTTTTCATGCCATTGTTTAGGTGCTTGTTTTAATCCATATAAGGATTTTACAAGTTTGCACACTTTCTTTTCTTTCCCTGGAACTATAAAACCTTCAGGTTATTCCATATAAATTTTCTCCTCTAATTCACCATTTAAGAACGCAGTCTTAACGTCCATTTGATGTATTTATAAATTTTGCAATGCTACAATAACAAGTAACAATCTAATGGATGTAATTCTTCTTACTGGTGAATATGTATCAAAATAATCCAAGCCTTCCTTTTGCATGTATCTCTTAGCAACAAGCCTCACTTTATATTTATCAATTGAACCATCAGGCTTCATCTTCTTTTTGAAAATCCACTTATACTCCAAAGGTTTAGTACCAAGAGAAAGATCCACCAACTCCCAAGTATGATTTTGCATGATGGATTCAATTTCACTATTTATGACTTCTTTCCATAAAGGAGCTTCAGGAGAAGACATAACTTTCTTATAGCTTTGTGACTCATTCTCCAATATATATGTTAGAAAATCAGGACCAAATGACTTAGACGTTTTAGCTCTTTTACTACGTCTAGGTTCTTCCTTATTTTCATCATCTATAGACTCTTGGTCTATATTCTCTTGTATATTGCTATTAGCAAAATCATGATTTCTTTTAAGAGGATTTTTACACGAAAACATATCCTCAAAGAAAAAAACATTCCTTGACTCAATAATTGTATTGATATGGATATCAGGAATGTCTGATTTATGCACAAGGAAACGATATGCACTATTATTCTATGCATAGCCTATGAAAATACCATCAAAGGATTTCGGACCTATCTTAACTTTCTTAGGAGTAGGAACTGCTAAACAATCCCACACTTTTAAGAATTTATAGGAAGGTTTTTGACCTTTTCATAATTCATAAGGTGTATTTTCTTTTGAGGTATTTTGTTGAGAACATAATTAGCAGAGAGTAAAGCTTCCCCCCACAAATTCTGGGTTAAAGCAGAACTTATCAACCTAGCATTTATTATTTCTTCTAAGGTACGATTTTTACATTCAGCAACACCATTCTGTTGAGGTGAATAAGGAATGGTAGTTTGGTGAATAATACCATGGTCTGAGCAGTCAGCGAATGGTGCTTCGTATT